ATTGTCCCAAAATTCTAGGTGTGTTATAGTTTGAAATGAATTTGATGGGACAAAACGAAGAAAACGCCTTCGTGTCTGGCATGAAAATGGGTACTATAATTTTAGTTCGTCCTATCATGGGGGAATCTGTAAGTTCCCAAGGAAAGTGCAATATCATGGGGGGTGGGGGGAGGGGGGTAGGGTTAGAGTCAGTTGGTGCTCATGTTTATTTCACACCGTAACACCTTTCCCCGAGAACTCTCCAGCAACTCTCAGAGTTCCCTAAATCTGGTGATCTAAAATAAAAGGACCCGCAAAGGAAACTGATCTTTGTCAGCCCTGACTACAGCAAAGACCCCGACTAACCCTTATCGCAACCCACAACACCTCTAGAACAGTGGACAGTCTCGAGAACTTCTAAATTTGTTTGTTTGTGGTGAATTAAATTAAAGTACCGCTTTCATCATCGAAGTTTTGTTTTTAAACTGTTGGCCAAATTGCGTTATAGTGTTTACCGCAAATGTGCGACACGTAGATTTTTCGGTCAACCGGATTAAACCTTCTCGTGATGCTTCTCAAAAGAAGCTCCTCCTGGATAGCCTAGCCAGAAAATCTAATCTAGCAAGTATGTGACCTAGACGAGATCAGTCACGGAACAGAATGGACGGATATACCAGCAGACCTGCATGGCTTGTCTAAAGTCATAACACTGGGGAGGTACTGTAGGAGTCATGCTTGCCACTGTAGACGCCAAAATTAGGGCACACACTGATCAGCGTTCACGCCCAGAAGACGTCGTCATCTACATCGATGAGTCTGTGAAACGCGGGTCAAGATCAGCATGGCCACACACTGCACAAAGGATAAAGAAAAAAATAAAAGAAGACAGCGGCGTTTATTAGACAACTATGCAAAGCATGAGCACAGAGATAGCTGCTGCTTCCAGAGCATTCGCGTGGGTAGCAGAACAAGCGGTCACACATGGGGTAATCGTTTCATACTCTACGAAAATGCTTCAGAAAATCGCTACAGGTAGTCTACTCCCCGAATGGGTTGAAAGCATTCAAAAGTCGCATTTAACCTCCATCACCTGGATTTACACATCTGGGTACTCAGAAGTAAATACTAAGGACAGAACTGACAAGCTGGCAAGCAATACATAAATGCTAAACGGGAAAAGGCATAGACAGAGCTGATAACATCAACACTGTACAGACTAGGTTGGGAGATAATAGCGAGTCTCTGAAGCTAACACGACAGCGTGACCGAGGAGTTAAGTTTGGTGAAGCTTATCGGGAGCAGGCCGTGGGTGAAGAACGTCTATGCTGTCTGCATAAACAGTTTCTCATGGGAACAATCAGTAGAGGTACCTTGGAGTGGCTGATGCATCGGAAGACTGAGCTTCAGGTGCGTGCCCAGTGTGCAAAGATGTCGACTGTGATAGCATAGCAAAACATAACAATCTTCTCGGCTGATTTCATGAGATATTGCACAGCATAATAGCTGTTAGGTCGCATTCTCTGCTTCACTGTCAGATCCTACCCCTTAACTGATTCGGCCTAAAATTGGAACCAGTAAAAAATATAACGAGAAGGATAAACTGTCAGTTGTTACCTTGACTGCATCATCAATAGAGTACCGAATGGCCTAAGTTATATATATATATATGGGCCTGACAGCGTATGCTCAGTGGACCAACAACGTAAAATAAACTTCTTTATTTTAAATTTTACCATGCAAAATAGCGCTACGGTTAAATTATAATTCTGTTGCAATCTTCTTCTTCAGCGCAGACCTGATGTTTCGCGGGTTACAAACTGCGATATCTATCTCTTTCGGACAAACACGTTCATTTCAGCAAACTCCTAGTTTTACGTCATGCTTATAAGGAGGGGGGGGGGGGGGGGGGGCAGTAGTTTTATTCCTTTCCCCTGACATGGGTTACCAGAACTCACACGGAGAGCCAGGCAATGAAAACAAGAACAGAGCGGCGGATTTTAGGTGAAACAAAACCTCAAGGGGTACACATGGGAAAAAGGGCTGAGAAGCGCTGTGTGATACATCGTAAGTGAACTCTTGAAAATGTTATGGATGTGGCAGTTTGTCAAGCTCAGAAACGTAAACTAAACTTCAGAGGTTAAAGCCGCAGTTTTTCAACAAAAACTGTATCAGCTATTATACGAGATTTTTAAATGACATTTATGTTATATAATTTTGTCGAATTGCCTCTAACATTTTTTATTACTGTACTAAATGCTTTCTTTAATTTGGCAGACATTGAACCTAGCATGGGTGGCAGCAAGAAAACTGGCTTCACCTGGTGCAGGCTGTCGGTTGCAGCGAACGAGGAAATCACTTGTCTCTAAGTCAGTGGCTCTCTAGAGCTTGTCAGACGTGAATTCTGAAAGTCATCAGTAAAAATGACGCGTAAGTTCCACCATGAGTACATCTTTACATTATATGTTTCACAAGAATCCGTTTCTATAACTCATTAACCATGTACGTGACGCATTTATCTGCTTTCATCAGTGGAATTTCATTCCCCATTTTCCAGTTTAAATTAGACATTGAGATTATTCTATTTCTATTTACGTTTTTTGATAAAACAGGATAGTAATAATATTGTTAGTTGTTGTTTTGAATGATACACTAGCTAGCGAATGATTCTTTTGTTACACTGGAGTTGCTAGCGCACAGACACATCAGTATGAAATCATTCTATTTGTTTTGTGTACAATACTAAAAGGTAGCATTACTTCAGCTTTTTTAAGAGCAGATTTCACAATAATTTAAACCTAGGCAGATATGACAAAGTTTGCACCGACCTTTCTTGCATTAAGTGCTCCATACTCATCTTCAGCAGCTAGCGCTGAGTTCCAATTTTGATTATTACTTACATACTTAGTTGATCTTCTTCTACCTAGGGGGCTCTATTTCAGCTTGTTTTGTGTAGTTGCAATAATAAAAGATTCTAAGCATTGTCATTACTTCAGTGTTGCGTGACATCGTTTTTTGCACAGTTGCGTACGGTTGCGTGAGGCAGCAGATTTCATTTTTAGGGGTATAGGGTTATAGATTGAAAACCGTAAGAATAGGACAATAAATCCTGAAAATGCCAAATATGACGCCAATAGCGTGCGGCTGGTGCCCCCAATCGTTGGCGAATGTGCGTGTGACCAAATCCAGGCCCTCGTATGGGACTGTGCGCGATTATAGGGAACTCCGGTTCAAAAGTCCACTCTAATCCTAACCCTGCCGCTAACCCTAATCATCTAATCCTACTCCCAACCCTAACCCCTAGTTCCTAACCACGCAAATTTATCGATCATTAAGCATACAAATCGGCAAACACGAACAAACAAAACACACCCAAAAAACAAAAAAAAACACCCAGAATTGTCCTGCAGCGTTACCCAGATCTGGGGGAAACAACCAAGCAATTTGATGTCGACGTGACTGGCTTCTTCGTTACCTCAGTTTGTAGAGTCGTTTGCCAGTGATTGCCAGACTTTTGTATTTGCAGTTTACTTTTTTTGCTGTGTTCCATTCAAGCTCTCTATAAGTCAGGAATTGTCAGATGTCGTCTTCCCAGCGAACTGTGTCGTTCTTGATGTCTGGTTCTCTAGTTCTTAGCCTTCCCTGCCAGCCGTGATGGCAGATTCTCTCCGTTCTCCATACATGTCCAAACCATGATAACTGACTGCTCTACTTGACTTTGTAAGGCCTGGGTTTCAAGATCATGACATGTTGTCTGGTTGCAGACTTGGACCACCTTTCTGAGATAACTAATTTCTGAGGCCTGAAGCTGGCTCCTGTGAGCTGTTGTCAGTGTCCATAACTCGCACCCTGCAGTCAGGACTGGCCACGGCCTACTCTATTCTGGAGCTGGTCGTGGACTGGCACATGGTAGAGCACTATACAGCTGTTTTCGCCCTCTTACAATTCTGATTATACCAATAGCAATTTGGTTACTTATCCTTTCCTCTTGAGTGTTGGCACACTTCACAATGTCTGAAATTCAATGAAAAGAGCTTTTTAGCCCATTTGCATTGTTTGGGAGTGAGATAGTTCAGCGTCTATGACTAGTTTTTAGTGTCTGTCCTTGGGTTTAAATGAAGGATGAGGGAAGCGGAGATGTTAGGCCTTTTATAATAAACATCAGAAACACTCTGGATCATTTTTTGTTTTCATCACAGCGGTGCGCAGAATCGAAACATGGAAGTTTGCTGTCTCAATGGGCAGTGCTTATACCATCTAGAGCAGCGGTTCTCAACCTATGGGTCACGACCCTTTTTTGGGTTGAATTACCCTCTCACATAGGTCGCCAAAGACCATCGCAAAACAAATATTTATTGAAGTTACGAAGTAGCAACAAAAATAATTGTATGATTGGGGGTCACCACAACATGCGGAACTGTATTAAAGGTCGCGGCATTAGAAAAGATGAGAACAGTTGATCTAGGGAATCAGCGGAAAGCAGTCTGCTGCCGAACGTTTTGCACTGAATTGAACCCAGTATATATGAATTATGAACCCCATAACTCAATCAGGTACCGTCTTTGTAGTGAACATTGGCTGCAATGGATCTCCAACTGTCTCTGTCTCTTGGCTTGGTTGTACATTCTCAATGACTGATGTTTGTACCTCTTTTTATGTTGTCCTTCCAAGTGTATCACAATCTATTCATGCTGTCATGCCTTGACTCTTTTCTCAAAAATAGTTTTTGGAATAGTTATCACTTGGTTATCAAGTCACAGAGCTTAACAAGTTGCAGACCTGGGAAAGAGCTGTGCAAGCTGAAGGCTCAGAGATATTGCAGGAAAAAAAAAAGGACATTAGAAAAACTAGTTCGTTGTGGTAATTTGAAGAAACACGCACTGATGTAATTTTTTTTCCATCCTTAATGATACTTTTTTAAAAACAAATTTTACCAACAGGAGGAAATCAGCGTGAGAAGGCAAGAGAAAAAAATATGAAAAAGCAGAAGGAGGTTGAGAAGAAAAAGGCATCAACCACAAAAGATGGCAACCGAGGAATGTCCCTTGAAGAAAGACGACATCGGTGAGCATTTCTAAAATAATCGTTTTAAACTTTATTGAAAATAAAAATTTAAAATATTAAAACAAAATTAACAAAAATATTGCCCCCCCCCCCCCCCCCCCCCCACCCCCCCCCCCCCCCCCCCCCCCCCCCCCCCCCCCCCCCCCCCCCCCCCCCCCCCCCCCCCCCCCCCCCCCCCCCCCCCCCCCATCCCCCCCCCCCCCCCCCCCCCCCCCCCCCCCCCCCCCCCCCCCCCCCCCCCCCCCCCCCCCCCCCCCCCCCCCCCCCCCCCCCCCCCCCCCCCCCCCCCCCCCCCCCCCCCCCCCCCCCCCCCCCCCCCCCCCCCCCCCCCCCCCCCCCCCCCCCCCCCCCCTCCCCTCACCCCCCACACCCCCCCCCCCCCCCCCCCCCCCCCCCCCCACCCCCCACACCCCCCCCACCCCCCCCCCCCCCCCCCCCCCCCCCCCCCCAATCTGGAATTACAGCCGAAAAGCTTGACATCAACTGGTTAAATGAGGAATCTGGGACCTGATTGTGAGGCAAACAAGAAGAGACCCACTAGCAACCCAAAAGCATGTCGTACGAGTCAACTGATTGGGAGCTTCCTTTGAAGTCTGAGTACATCTGCCTGAGAGGCAAGGAACCAACAGTCTGCATACAGATGAGTCAGATCTGTAAAACAGATGTGCATACACCACTCAGGTTCTGGAACAGGACTAGATTCAAGAAGTGGACAAACAACCAGAACTTTTCGCCGGAAATGACAAGCCAGTGAACGCAAAGAAGAAGAAGAAATGAGGAATCAGTATTTTGATGCAAATTCCAACCTCCCATACAGTTATTTTTGAGCAACGTACAATTATGGATAGACATAGCACCCGCTTACAAGCATGACATAAAAAACAACTAATTAGGGGTGTGTCTTTCACAATCGAAGTGTATCTGCCTGGGAGGTGAGGAACCAACAGTCTGCATACAACTGAGATAGATTTGTAAAATGCATGTGTCCAGAAAACTCAAGTTCTGGAGCGAGACCAAAGTCCCAAACTGGACGAACAGCCAGAACTTTCTGCCGGAGTTTACAACTGGTAAATGCTGAGAAGGAGTAGTTTAAAAAAATATTCCTGAGAGCAGCTTAAATCTGTTATGTTTCAGTCGTACCGCTCCGCCCTCTTTTTCAAACACTGTCACTCTTCTAAGGCTGTGCCATGCTTATAATTATTTTCAAATGCTGTATATAAGGTGTTCAGTATACAGATGTGAGGTTAAACAGTCATGAGCAAGACGTGACGATTCCTTGAGCGAGCCCAGCACCAGAGTGCCATGTATTGGCTCTGCATTTATGGAAGCCTCCTTGGATGGTGAGGAATGCTCATATTCTGCCCCTATCTTCTCTTGAGGAATGACCAGCATTACCTGGCTTCTCTGGATCAGCCTCGGGCACCACCTGTGACCTAGGAAACAAAGGTGACTACTCAACAATGAGACTGCAATGTTCCACAAAGCTGAGAAGGCTAACCCCGTCAACAAATGCCTGCAGAAGTCAGATGTGTCGGCTGAAAGGCGCAAATATCGCAGCCATGCTGTAAACGGACACAACACAATTACTTCTTGGGATGAACACAGAAGTAATGCTGTATAACCCTTCTAATACTGTATCATGCTTCTAATACTGTGTCACCCTTCTATTTTATCGCCTCTCTCGTTGTAACACCCCTTAAGTGTGTATGAATGCTAAATTAATTTTAACGACTTACTGTTATTTTCAGTGATGCAGAAATCATGCGGCAGAAACAAGAAAAAAAGCTGGCTGATGCTGCTGCTGCAGGCACTAGTGCAGAAGCAAGTGGCGGTGCATGTGCAAGTGGAGGCACATCCAAATAAAGCAGTGCACTTGGTGCAGATACACCAGATTGATCAAGGGTCTGCTCATCAAGGAATCACAACTGTATTACTCACACGATTAGTGTTCTTCATTTCTGTTTCTGATAACATTGGCATACCATCAGGTTTTGTAATTTCAGTTTTTCTTTTGCCTCTTTACAATTTGGGTGGGATTTTTTCAGGTGGAATCATAGGCTAGCAGCTGATTATTGAGTCCAGTGAACATACATCTCCTTAACCATCTCTGACATTCATTTTGTGTACATATATGTAACCTGCTGTGGAGAACGGTTCTTTTTCAGGAGCATGCAGTTTTCTTATTCTGATGCATTCACTGAAAATATAACATTAATATGAAATAAATTATGCTTTCTTAATACAATAAAGTTTTTTTTTGTGTGTGTTGTTATTTATGGGTAGAGAGGCGTTAACTGTGTTTGTTATTCCCTTCAAATTTCTAGTTTTGCACACTAAACTACAGGTGAGATACGTGATCTAATGTTTAACTGGGCAAACTCAAATGGCATCTTTGTGTTTAATGGGAACAAATGAGATTTTTGCAAGAAGATGAGTGTTTTAAAATGTTAAAGAATAGACCCACTGCCTCCCTAACAAGACCCGATGCCTCCCTAACAAGACAAGTCTGCCTCCCTTACAAGACAAGACCTGCCTCCCTAACAAGACAAGACCCACTGCCTCCCTAACAAGACAAGACCCACTGCCTCCCTAACAAGACTCGATGCCTCTCTAACAAGACAAGACCCACTGCCTTCCTAACAAGACTCTATGCCTCCCTAACAAGACAAGACCCACTGCCTCCCTAACAAGACAAGACCCACTGCCTCCCTAACAAGACTTGATGCCTCCCTAACAAGGCAAGACCCATTGCCTCCCTAACAAGACTCGATGCCTCCCTAACAAGACTCGATGCCTCCCTAACTAGGCAAGACCCACTGCCTCCCTAACAAGACTCGATGCCTCCCTAACAAGGCAAGACCCATTGCCTCCCTAACAAGACTCGATGCCTCCCTAACTAGACAAGACCCATTGCCTCCCTAACAAGACTCGATGCCTCCCTAACAAGGCAAGACCCATTGCCTCCCTAACAAGACTCGATGCCTCCCTAACTAGACAAGACCCATTGCCTCCCTAACAAGACTCGATGCCTCCCTAACTAGACAAGACCCATTGCCTCCCTAACTAGACAAGACCCATTGCCTCCCTAACTAGACAAGACCCATTGCCTCCCTAACAAGACTCGATGCCTCCCTAACAAGGCAAGACCCATTGCCTCCCTAACAAGACTCGATGCCTCCCTAACTAGACAAGACCCATTGCCTCCCTAACAAGACTCGATGCCTCCCTAACTAGACAAGACTCGATGCCTCCCTAACAAGAACCATTGCCTCCCTAACAAGACCCACTGCCTCCGTAACAAGACCCACTGCCTCCATAAACTCAATAAAAGGCGATTGATTAGGGGTTTGCTGAAATTGGATGTATTGAGCCCAGAAAATGCAGATATCACATCATCATCATCAGGTGCCTTGCAGATAGGCGTGGGCGATCATGCCGCTCCATAATCCATGATCTCCTGCAGCATGTATCAGTTTATGTGCCGACACACCTTCATGCCATGCAGCAAGACTATCAAGAATCTTCTCTCGTTGTCTTCCTCTATCCCTCCTTCCACAGATCTTTCCAGTGGTCACAACATGTACTATTTTCCCTCTTCTCATAATGCCGAAAAATGATAACTGTCGCCTTCTGATGCCTGTTGTGAGTTGTATTTGGGCTCCTGCCTCTTTCAAAACCTCTTGGTTGCTCTTTTTGGCTGTCCAAGGTATTCTAAGAATTCTTCTGTAAAACCACATCTCTGAGGCCTCAAGAAATTGGCCTGCCTACCGATTATCCAGGATTCACAGCCCTATGGTAAAACTGGATGTTGGATCACAACCTAGCTATAAAAACAGAAAAGGATGCTACTGCTTATATTGTTTGTTTGTCTAGCTGTTTGGGTGTTGAGTTTAGAACTGACAGTTCAGAACATTCCCATAAGCGCTCCATCTTCATCTTCAGCAGCCAGACTATCAACCTCACTTCAAGAAGAGTGGGTAGAAATGTAGATCAGAGAATCAATAAAAATAGAAATAAAAAAAAAAAAGCAAGAAAAGCTCTCCAAACCCTAAGAAATCTGTGGAAGTCAGTGGAAATTAAAACTTGGGATATTCATCTCTAATATCAAGTTATGGAGCAAAAACATGGAGAATGACTGAAAAACAATTATAAAAAAATCATATTCATTCAGCTGTAACTACACAGAACAGAAATTAAATAAATGGTAAGACAAATACTATTGCAGAGTTTGGAAGTGACTTGGAAAAAAAAAATTAAGAGCTTGACAAAAATTGCTGTATAGGACACATTTGGGAGCCGCTATGGTGCAGCAGCTAGACACTCACATGCGGATTCAAAGGTGGTGGGTTTAAATCCAAACGAAACAGGACTTTTTTTCAACAGTGACCATGGCTTGTAGGTCGACCCAGCCTCAAATGGATAACATGATGACCACATTATCCACTGAATGCTGATCGGTCTAGAACTATATATCCTAGTACGCTTGAAGATGTGGAAAAGGGTCATTTTATGGGACACATGATGGACATAGAATGATATCATTTAATATGAGCTTGTTGAGAGTTTAATGCTCCATTGGTGAATAAAGGGGAGAAGAATCTTCAATGCAGACATCTCTTCCTGCATGGGACTGCAGGTTACACTTGGCTAGTGTAGCTATTATTGGATCACTTTAGAGGTTGAATGGGGTATATCAGGGATCTTCCTTGTTGGTCGGCCGTCCATTTTGAATTTAAAAAAAAATCTCCAGATGGTATGGTAAACACTAGGTGGCTGCCTGGAAGGGACAAACCCTTTGATCGATCAGTGCAGATACCTACATCATCATCAAGTGCCTTGCCAGCTGGTGTAGGCGTTCATGCATCTCCACAGATCTTGGTCTTTCATGTTCTTGATCAATTCCACTGATGATATTCCTCCATGTCACTGTCTTAAGCCATCCACCATTATTTCTCTTGGTCTGCCTCTCTATCAGTTTATATATCATAAATATATATATGATTGGCACCTTAAAGTTTTTCTAGAATTAGCTAGAGATGTACCAAATCCATTCAAGTAATGGGGCAACCATCTCCTATTGACACACAAGCAACCACAGATAAACTTTGCTAAGAAAGGGGCAGAATGTGACCAGGAAGAGAATGCAGTAACATACTATGAGAAGAAAAAGGCCATCCAGACTATTAGAAGTGAACAGTCTGGCCAGAGATGACTACCACTTACTTGACCGGCATAGGCAGGGCTTTGTCGTATGTCTCAGGAAGGACATAACAAACTTAACCAGCATATGCACAGGCTTCGTCTAAGTAGTTCACCTGTGTGCCCTTGTGGGCTATGTGTGCAGACTACAGAACATGTCCTGCAAGACTGTCCCTTGTTCATCCCATTAAGAAGGGAATACTGGCCCAGTGAGTCACCACTGCACACAAAGTTGTATGGGACCGAAAAGAAACTCATAAAAACAGTCCAGTTTATCACAAGAACCTGTCTGCCGGTGTAAATCAGAAAGCGAACACAAGAAGAAGAAAAAAACACTAGCAGACACCCCGGAGTACTAAAGTGAATCTTATGAGAACTATTTTTAGGCCAACACTATGCTATCAGTGCTAAAGGTGGAAACTTACATCCTCCAATGAACGTAAAATTGTGACAACAGAGATGAAATGCCTTAGAAGAGCTGCAGGAGTTTCAAGAAAAGACAGAATACAAAATCAGACGAATGCTAGGAATAAAGCCAGTTTTACAAGTCATCAAAGAACAACAAATAAAGCGGGTTAGACACCTAACAAGAATGCCCTGGTACTATCTGCCACACTAAAATGTTTCAACAGGTATAGAGCGAGTGGAAGACCTCGGAAAATATGGAGTGATGGCATTAAGAACAGCCTTACAGAAATGAATATCAGTCTTAATAGTGCTCTTGACAGAGCTCATCAACAAATATTACTTCTCCCCCAACACTTCACTGAGGTACAAGGTGGAAGAGAAGAAGAAAGTCTTTGCAGAGGATAGTGTTATATTGCGCTATGAGGAGGCATGAGACTCACAGCCCTTGGCAATGGTGAGTGTGACTAGCAAGACCCGCCTGGGTTAAGAAAAGTCTTCCACAATTTGAGGATCATTGTTGTCACGATTTGTGTTTAGTGTGTTTCTGCTCAGATGCTCAGCTCTCATCATTTCTGCAATTATTTCTTCCTTCATTCTCAATTCCTTCCTGAAGTGTCCCCTCAACACAACGCCTTTTGTTTCCGTGTGTCCACCTCAGTACCTGTATCCATCATGTCCTGCTTGCTCCCATATTTATATCGTAGTGGAGGTCAGCCTTGATACTTTTTACCTGTGTTTAATTCAGCATAAAGGATGTCCTTAGGGACAGCGATCCTCTACTCTCCAAGTGTGTCCTAGCCACCTGAGCCCTCAAGGACCAAGGATATTTATAACATTGCACAGAGGGAAAAGAAAAGAGAATTTTATTTTGACAACAACTAATGTGCTGCGTGGATTTGTGTCGTGGTATGGGACGTCGCAGGTCGACCCAGCCTAAAATGGGTACCAGGATGGGCTGTCTTGGGAAAGTGAAGACAGCCGGCGTAATGCTGACCACATTACCCACCGAGTGCTGATGGTCTGTAAAAATATGGGACGCTCTGCCCATATGCACGATGCGCCGAAAGGCGTGAAAAGGGATCTTTACTTTTTTTTACTTACTTAATGTGCTAAGTGTAAATGCAAGAGATACTGCCAGTAGGCAATTTAGCTTCTGTAGCCACAATAAGAAAAGACAAAAAACGGAATGCATAACTCATAATTTTGTCATCTGTGATTTATTTTGTTATATACTTATATAACTCTACATCTTCGCCAACCATACAAAATAACTTTTGCACACAAGGGCAGAGATAGAAAAGCATGGAAAGGTTCAAGCGTAGCACAATTAAAATAAATAAAATTGCATCACCACTGTGGAACATGTCTGGTCCCCTCATTGTATGGCTTCATTATATGAATCTTTGACTCCCTCAAACAATGTCCCCTCTGAGTCATGTATGCATGTAAACCAAA